GCTGCTAGAGAAGCGTAGAACTGCAATTACTATGATCGCGGTCGATGAGGTAACAAATCCCGTCATACAACTTATTGAATCAACTTCGTCATTCTCTAAGTTAATCCGCATAGTTGCATATATGTTCCGCTTTATTGATGGAAAACAAGAGAGCCGTTCTTCACTTGTTCCTACAGCTTCTGAATTAAGTTTCGCATTCCTCCTAGTCATATCTGTAGTTCAACACATTGAATTCAGCGAAGAAAATAAGAAAATAAAGAAATCAATCGTGTTGCAACCGTCATTGCCAAAACTGACACCTTTTTTGCACCCACATCAGCATGGCAGGCGTGTGTTGTGGTTTCTACGAGTCGGAGGTCGTCTATTGAAGGCACCACCAGCACGTAATGCCAAATTCCCCTTGTTGCTTCCAAAAAAGTGTCGCTTTGTGACGCTTTATTTGGAGCATTCGCATCGCTCTCACGCCACGCCAATCCACTGGTACTAATGGGCCTGCTTCGTCAGCAGGTGTGGCTGGTCAATACTCGAGAGGCTTGCAATGCAGTAGTTAGAAAATGCGTACATTGATTTCGCTACAAACCGAAACTCTTATCCCAAATAATGGGTAATCTTCCCGCTGATCGCTTACATGGAAATAGGCCATTTGAGATCAGTGGAGCGGACTTTTGTGGTCCAATACTAGTTTCGCTGGGAATTCGTGGCAAATCGCCAGTTAAAATGTATATTGCCATATTTGTTTGTCACCGATTTAACCTCGAATACTTTTTTGATGTGTTTATCCAGGCTCATTGGTCGACGTGGGTTTGTCCGGAAGCTATACTGCGACAATGCCACCAATTTCGTGGGTGCTGCACGCACGCTGGACCGCAAAGCTACTTTCCATGGCAACACAGCGGATACGGAAACGTTTGCTGTGGAGCGGGGAATGGAAGTTGTTTTCATTCATCCTCGAGCGCCGCATTTCGGCGGCCTTTGGGAAGCGGCAAATCTGCCAAGGGATTGCCGTTGAAGGGAATGGGCAGCGCAATCTTGCGCCAGGACAAGGTGGCCACCGTGCTGGTCGAGGTAGAGGCCGTGCTCAATTCGGGGCCAATGGTCGCTCCCAGCAGCAACCCAAACGACGGCCAAGTGCTCACGCCAGGGCACTTCCTGATAGGAGCAACGCTCGTGCCGCTGCCAATCGCATCCACAGAGCCAGTCGACGACGTCAAGCTGACATGCTTAAAAAGATGACAGCTGACATCAAGCATCAAGCGTCGGTTTTGGATCGACTGGTCATGGGACTACCTGCTCAGCCTGCAGCAGAAGTCAAAGTGGACGAAGGAGAGGCAGAACTTACAGGTCGGAGCAGTCGTGCACGTGGAGAGGACAACGCTCCTCCACAACCGTGGATGCTAGGCGTAGTAACAGAAGCAATAGCCGGAGGAGATGGTAGGGTGCGCGTAATTGTCGTTAAGACAACAAATGGCACATATAAAAGGGCAACTCATCGCGTTACCCCACTGCCGCTCAACTAATACCCCATGTTATTGAAGCCCTGCGGCCTTTTGACGCGGCCGGAATTTGTATAAATGAAGAAATTGAATTATTGAAATTGTATAGGTTAAGAATGGAAATTAAACCATTGTACAACGTAGTTGTGGTTGTACGCGCTAGTATGGGAGTGTCGCTCTCCAAACGATCGCTCTCTCGCTGCTCGTGCTTAGATGCGCATAGGTGCGCTCTCTACTGTGCAAGCTGCGCTTACGTTGATGTTAAATTTAATAAAGTAGTACAAATTGAATCACCGGTGCCAGCATTTCTTTGGTGCTTACTCTTGAGAGGCCGCAGGTTGCTTTATATTCTAGACCTTTTTTTCGACGGACCAGACTCCTTTTTAAATTGGAACAAGAGGACGAGAATTGATTATAGCCTGAGTTTGACACACCAATGTGCGCAATTCGTCGAAGCCAAGAAGTGCCGATCCCATAGAGCGATATAAGAGATTTTTAGCGGTCTTAACAGCTGCCTCCCAAAGGCCGCCAAAATGTGGCGAACGAGGAGGTATGAACTTCCAATCGAAGCTGTTGTTGATGCAGTATTTGTGAACTTCATTCCGATTGTAATGTTTAAAGGTCTCTTTTGATTTTTATACCCTGAACCCATTTTCAATGGGAAATCAGGGTATAATGGTTTTGTTAAAAGTATGTAACAGGCAGAAGGAGGCGTGGCAGACCCCACAAAGTATATATATTCTTGATCAGGGCGACGAGCTGAGTCGATTTGGCCCTGTCCGTCTGTCTGTCCGTCCGTCCGTCCGTCCGACCGTCCGTCCGTATGTATGAACGCGTCGATCTCAGAAGATATAAGAGCTAGAGACTTGAAATTATTTTTCCTAGGTCCGTGTATATCACGCGCATATCAAGTTTTTCTTTTTATATCGATAACTACTCCCGATATTTTATTATCGATTAAAAACCTTATCAAAAGCTAGTTATTTAAATTTATCTCCTACACCTTTAGAGCTAGAGCTTGCAAATTTTAAATGTAGACATATATGTATTTTATATATTTTCGATTTTTATTGTTATTTACCCCCCACCCCTATATCCACCCCCTCACCCTCACCTTTGTACAAGGCGTATTTCAAGTACTAGAGACTTGTGCTTTGGAATGTACATACATTTTCACCACATGATTACGCCCTGAAAGTTTCATTAAGATTGTACGTCTAAAAATTAAATTATTCAACAAATAAATTCTTATAATGTTGCCCACACTACAGCGCAGCCCAAGCGCAGTCGCTGCTTACTGCGCAGTTAGCAGAGCGCGTTCTAATACGTGCGTGTGTATGTATGTGTGTCGAAAAAAAGTGCAGACTGATAAGAATATCAGATTAGAGGGTTCAGGGTATATCCTAGTCGAGCAGTCTCGACTAGAGTCTTCTTACTTGTTGGTATTTATTTTATTAAGACATTGAGGAGGCAGCAGTGGTGCCGCTTCCAACGCTCAGTTGTATCTGACCTTAAACATTCTACTTAGGTTCTAAATAAGCCTAATTCTCGTTGCTGCGAAATATAAGGTTTGGGCAGCAGAGGGAGACAATTATGTATATTTCTTACTAGCTGGCCCGGCAAACGTTGCATTGCCCTATCCATTATTTCTAGGTAAACAATTGTTGAAAGCTATGTTGTTCAAGTTGGGATACACTCTGAATAATTTATTAATCGGATTTTCATTCAAGTACCTTGTGGTAAACGACATTTTTCGTTGTTTGGTCAGGTGCAAGAACAATTAATGCGGATGGTTTGCCAACACGTGAGCATGCCACGTACAATTGACCATGAGAAAAACACGCATTTTCTAGATTGAGGCCACAAATAGTCAAAGATTGGCCCTGTGACTTGTTGATCGTCATGGCGAAGGCAAGACGAAGCGGGAATTGAATTCGTTTAAACTCAAAGGGAATATCTGTTGGGATCATCGGAATTCTAAGAATAAGAACTTCCTCATCTGTAAATTTTCCTTTGAGTATCGACGCGTGAATCACATTGCCTATCAGTTTTCTTATCACCAAACGCGTTCCATTGCACAGTTTTGGTTGGTTTAAATTTCTAAGCATGATAACTACCGAGCCAACCTTCAGTTGTAAATTGTGCGGGGGTAAACCAGGCACATCCAAGGAGTTCAAAAATTCAGTTGGATAGATTTGAATGAATACAGAGTACCAACGACTTTATTTTGAATTATAAAATTAAGGTCATCCACATCTTTATTTTTATTTGCGATGGCAAATCTGGCCTTGAATCTTTAAATTCAAAGCCATAGTTATAGTTAGATTTAAAAACACTTTTTTCAGAAATCTAACAAACTACATTATTCCAATTTTTTTTTTTTTTTACAATCGTAGAATGTAAAATTTTTAACGTAAATTACCTTAAATGTCAGATTATATCCGTCTCCAATAATTTCCACCCCAAATGTCATTTGGAAACAGGCATTTTATTTTTGAGTGTTCGCTAGAAAATGTCGTAATTCTAGTGTTTCGCCATAAAGTAGGGAACACAATGGCTCTGGTGGCGGGACCACTAATGGCAATGTCACTTTTCCACTAAGGCAGCACAAACCGGGCGTTTCACCAGCAAACTTCAATGCGCCACAATGCTGGCAAACAACGTCCATTGGACCAATGCAAAGTAAACGATTCAAGCTGTAGTCAATGGTGCAATCATATCGAAACGCTGCTTGATTCAAATCAATCCTTGCATCATTTCTTATTGCCGTTTCACGGGCTACCTTTCTTTGAGAAGCACGAATTAAGGCCCTTCTTTGCTGGGTACTAACGTGGCGCCTTTCTCGGGCGATTTCTCGTTCTTCGTCAGATAATTGACTCGCGATATTCCGATGCCTAATTGCATTATTGGTCCGCTGGGAAAGATTAGATCTTCTAGGACGCGGCATTTTTATCAATAATAACACTGAATATGCCCTCGCCAAAACCACATAAAACAATCGAGAAATATAAATTTAAATAATTTACACAAATTTATGTTTGAGACAAACAAATAATATTGTATAATATGAGAGCAGGACCGAAAACTGTCACTGTTATTAAGCCTACTGAGTATCAATGGAAATTTGAATCTTTAGGGAAAAAACCGCGTTTTTCAAGTATTCGTCAAATTTTTTCAGTATTTCTAAGATCTACTATCCTACTCGTGGCGGAGACAAATCCAACAAATCAAAAACTATGAAAATTGGTCCAGCACATATCATGTTATAAGTCACGGGACACTTTTACACAACTCTCTTTTATATATAGATATATAGATATATTATATAAGTTAAGACTTTCGACAATCTAAGGAGGCTGGAGAGTCCAGTCAGACATTCAAGGGGAGAACCTAACCAGTTGAACAGATTTAGTTCAGTTCATGTTCGGACTAGAGAGAGTTTAGACCTATTGTTCCAAATTATATAAAATATATTATTTCATTGAACACAAAGTTGTTATATATTCACAAGAACCCAACACAGCGTCCCCAATCACTAGTACTCTAGTGTGGGAGCGCTTAACTGGCGCCCGAGCAGGGACCCACATTCTTCACGGAAGTAAAGGGAAATGGTGACGTGTCAATAATTCTATAAAAATGACTTATTAAAAAAGCAAGTACAAATAAATTGTTCCAATCCAATTGGGCAATTGTTGGCAAAATTACGAAGTACTTCTGCGATTTGCAAAGTAATGGGGTGAAAGTCCTTGCCATAACATAATAATACAATAAATAATAACATAATTTCTAGCAAGTGTTGGTGCACTAGATAATTCTATAACATATGGTATTGGCATTACCTAGGTTCAAATCCGTGCCGAGACGAGTTTGCAGGCATAATGGTGGTACGAGATTGATTCTCGTATCGAGGTTCAAATCCTTGCCGTAAGACAATTGTAATAAAAAAAAAACGTCACATTTTCCAACTGTGTTCAATGATGGGTTTCCGTATAAATTAAAAGAAACCCAGTGGTCAAAGTTAAGTTTAAAACACTAACTGTATAACAAAATTAAAAGGCGGTTGTCTGGAAATCTCTAATCAACAAGCAAAGCATAAATATGCAAAAATAAAAACATGAATTGCAGAGACCTTCTATTCGATCGTGGAATAACCCTTACCCTAGTAGGTCTTAGAACCAAAGAGGAATACTTTGGGCTTCCCTTTCGGAAGAGAATACGTCTGGCAACAATATATAAAAGAAAAAAGGAAAATAAATAAATAAATGAAACGAAAGCAAGAGAGAAACCAGATGATTGTGGAACCACCCTCACCTAAGTAGGTCTTACACCAAAAAGGATCCTGAGGGCTTCCCAAGCCATATAAAATAATAAAAACTGTTTGCCGGTTCGGTAACAAAAGATAATACAACTAGTAATTGGTAATTCAGTAATTCTATAACAGACAACGCAATAACACACGTTGTAATAGACACATGTAATTCAATACAATTAGTAATTCAATGAAATAATATAAAAGAAATAATAACAAACTATTTAAAAAAGGTGTTACGACCATGTGAGAGCATTACTAATATATTTATCTCCACAGGAAGCAATTCTACGAGACGATTATTAATATTTTCTTATCTCCACTGGAAACGGTAAATAGCAGCAGCTTGGAAACAATGAAAATCTGATTTAATGTAGAAAATTAGATCGATAACATAGTAGGCATCGAATTAAATAGTAAGTTTTCCGACATTGAATTAATTTAGTTCACTTTTGCACCGAGCTCAAGCCGTAACTAAAACGAAAAATTTTGAAAAATTTACAAATTATAAAAAAAGAATACAAAAAAAAAAAAAAAAAAAAAAAAAAAAAAATATATATATATATATATATATATATATATATATATATATATATATATATATATATATATATATATATATATATATAAACAAGTAAGTAGGCTCCAGTCGAGACTGCTCGACTGAACCCTCTAAGCTGATATTCTAATCTTTCTGCACTTCTTTTATGTACACATACATACACATGCATTCACCACGCACGCATAAGCCTACGCTCTGCTAACTGCGCAGTAAGCAGCGAATGCGCTTGGGCTGCGCTGCAGTGTGGGCAATATTATGAGAATTTATTTGTTGAATAATTTCTTTTGTAAACATATGATCTTAATGAAACTTTCAAAACGTATTCATATGGTGAATATGTGTGTATATTCCAAAGCACAAGTCTCTAGTACTTGAAAATTGGGGGCGAAGGGGGCGTGGTATCCAAAATCTGTAAACTACAAAATCTGTGTATCCATTAACTTTATATACAACGCAAATTTGAAGTCTCCAGGTCTAAAAGTGTTCAAATTAGGCTGAAAAAACAATGCCGATTTTTCGATTATTCTCGATAAAAAAGTTATCGGATGAATTATCGAAAAAATAAAGCAAACTCGTACTGCGTATGGTACACACGAGTATGCATGCCAAATTTCAGCTCTCTAGCTCTTATAACTTCTGAGATCGACGCACTCATACGGACGGACGGACGGACGGACGGACAGACGGACAGGGGCTATATCAACTCAGCTCGTCGCGCTGATCAAGAATATATATACTTTGTGGGGTCTGCCACGCCTCCTTCTGCCCGTTACATACTTTTTCACAAAACCATTATACCCTGATTTCCCATTTTCAATGGGTTCAGGGTATAAAAATTGAAAACAAATCCTACAAAAAGTTTAAAAATTAAAAATATAGTAATCAAATAAAAAAAAATCCTACAGAGGGTTTAATAATAAAAAATAATAATAAGAATAAAAATAACTTATATAAATAGAATAATAATAGTAAAATTAACGGATAACAAGTAATATGGAAAATATTAATGGAACGTTGCAAGGGCTGAGCGCGGCAATAACTGTGTTAGCCGATCAATTTTCGAGTCTTAAGGAAGATTTGAAGCAATTGAATAGGAAAGTGGATTGTTTGGAAGAGGAGGATACTAATCAGTCTCTCATAGAGGAACAAACCTCACTGGCCCGTCCACGTTCGGAGCTTGAATTAATTGAAATTTCGTCATTGCCGGACTGTGTTAAAGTGTTGCCGACATTTGGGGGAAACCCTTCAGAATATGCCTCGTGGGTAAACAGGATCGAGTCCGTACTTGAAGATTATTATATTATCAAGGAAAAGCCACTATATCGCTCAATAATTTTACATATACGAGGAAAAGTAATTGGAAATGCCGATGTTTCACTGTCATCGTACGGTGTACAAATTTACAGGCCTTAAAGCCAAGCGAACAACGAGTCGTAGTATTGTCCGCATTAATAGAATCATATAGAGATAGAGCTTTAGATGTTTTCATAAGGGGACTAAACGGTGACCTACCGAGGATGTTAACAGTTAGCAAATCTAAAAATTTACCGGAAGCTTATGCCATTTGTGTGAATTTACAGAATATTCCTTAAGAAGTAATGGTGTACAAGGGACATATATGTCCCTCGTGGAATTGATGATTATCAACAAATCAAAAACTGGAAAAATTCTTCATAAATTAGACTTAAGAAAATAGGAAAAAAAAAAAAAGGAAAATGCACATTTAATAATATTGTACTAATCCTCTTTTAACTTCCTTGACTTCCTAGCACCCAAAGCACATTTAATTATATTGCAAAAATCCTCTTTTAGCTTCCTTAACTTCCTTAGCATCCACAGCATTTTACACGTGGTATATCCTTCCTAGTTTCGATCATTCATGGCAATAGGGATTTCCGAGATGCCAGAGGGAATGAAATAAATGCGCTTACAATGTTGGATGTATTGTCATAACCACAAATGAATACTAAATGTATGGAACTATGAATGCTTTGAATATCGATGGCCCTCTTTATGCTAATTTATGGACTCTGGCAATAGGGATTTCCGAGATGCCAGAGGGAATGAAATAAATGCGCTTACAATGTTGGATGTATTGTCATAACCACAAATGAATACTAAATGTATGGAACTATGAATGCTTTGAATATCGATGGCCCTCTTCATGCTAATTTATGGACTCTGGATAATAAATTTATATTGGATAAATATCATTATATTGGGCAATTTATATTGGATAATTATCATTATTGGACAATTTATACTGGATGAATATCGTTATAATGGACATATGCACCCTGATCTTACTTTCGCCTTATTTTTATCAAATCGTTCCTTGTCTTAAACCGCTGTAGCTAAAACATTCTTTTCAGCCTGTGCTCTTACGCTTGGCAGATCAACGTCATGCTTAATGTCACTAGGTGGGAGTAAACCTAATGGGCGTGCCACCTTTCCCAATAGCATTTCTAATGGACTAGCCTTCGTCACACGGTTAGTTGTACAATTGATTGCCAACTGTACCTCTCCTAACACGTTCTGCCAAGACTGAGTTCCAGTTTCGACCGCAGTCAACATATTTTTTACCGTGCTCATGGTTCGTTCCACTTGGCCATTAGCTCGGCTAGCACCGGTACTAATCAAATGCAAGTTTATTTTCTTATCTGCACAGAATTGACTAAACTTTGCACCCGTAAAACACCTTCCCTGGTCAGCTATTATTCGGTTTGGTACTCCAAACAAGTGAACAGCGGATTGAACAGCATTTATGCACCTTTCACTATCTAATTTAAGGCTATGACTAAGATAGACAGATAGATAGACTTGGTAAACGCGTCTACTTGAACGATAACATATTCCTTCTGATCACTTTTGCCACTTAGTTTTCCACTTATATCGATATGGATAGTGTGCCAAGGAATATTGATTTTCGGTATTGGATGTAATTCTGCTTGTATTTTCCCTGATTTTATCTAAAGTCTTCTCCCAACCTAAATGCATTATTGACTCGTTTACTTGATTTATAACGGACCATCTAAAGGCACGTGGCACCACTGGTAAACAACGAGTTCTGTCATTTCTTTGTATTTTCCGGTGAAGAACTTCTGCCCTTAGCTCATAGGTTTTCGCAATGTTTTCAGCAAGGGAAAAATCTTTTAATTTATTCTCAATTTCGGCTATGTCGGAGTCTCGACGCTGTTCAGCATTGAGCCAGTTGCTTGAAATTTCAGTCAGGCTAACTCTTTTCTCTTCAATCAGCCTAACTGCGGAAGTAGGCTTTAGCAAAAGAGGATTTCTTGACAAAAAGTCGACGTGCGCCATTCTTTTTCCTTCTCTATATTGAATATCAAATGTAAACGCCTGCAAATAAGCCCACCAACGTTGAACTCTGGGAGTCAACTCTTGCTTAGTTTTCGACGCCTTTAGCGAGCTACAATCAGTAAACACAGTAAAATTTCTTCCCAACAAATAATGTCGAAAATGTTTAATAGAGTTTACAACAGCTAGACTTTCCAACTCATAAGAGTGATATCTTGACTCTGCAGGTGAAGTAGTTTTGCAATAGTATTCTATTACATGAGGTTTGTTGCTAATTTTGTGTAATAAAATTGCACCGTAGCCATCACAACTTGCATCTGTATGCAACTCAATTGGATAATTTGGGTCAAAAATGATAAGCACTGGTTTATCAGTAAGAATAGAAATAACCTTTTTCCGTATCTGCTCGTGTTCAGTTTTCCAAATAAATTTACTTTTCTCTGAAGTTAAGAAGTACAACGGTTTCATCAACTGTGAAAATCCCTCAATAAATTGTCGGAAATAAGATGCCAAGCCAATGAATTGTCTAAGTGTTGTGACTGACTGTGGAGGTGGCAGAGCAGTCAACGCTACTATTTTCTGAGGATTTGGACGAATTTCACCCGCACTAATACTGTAACCTAAATATTGAATCGATG